ATGTTCACTTAATTTATAATGCACGTTAGAATTATTGTATACGTCTTATAATCTGAGTGAATGATGTGAAGTTCAAGATAAGTAGAAAAACTTATGTACATGTTTATATAGTATGTATAATAGGAGATTCTCTTCATATGATGTTCGTTTTTTGTTAACAATCAATGCGTCCAAAAATTCTCACTGATACTCAATTTTAAAGTTTCTAAGATTTAGATTAGTCATAAATATCAAATGCCAAAAATGTGAGCGATTAACTAATCTGAGACTAAAACTCTAAAACTCTAAATTATAAACGATGATTCAACATTCTAAATAATCGAAATATCAATAAATAGAACCAAGTTGAAGAAACTAGAAGTGAGATTGACATTACACGACATATAATGTGTGAGGCAAGTAGACTGTACGGTGGATTCTTACTTTTAATAATATGATCAAAAGATACAAATAAAATACTATTCCTAATAATTTCTCTCTAATTCTTGACAAGCTGTAAACAAATACTCGCTATATTTGCAACAAGTCTAATTTAAAGAAGACAAAATGATAAACTCCAGCTAAATTAAAAATTATCCTAATCATCACCCAATTTAAGAAGATTATTTTGGACTTAAAGCCAATTTCTGATAAATTCTCCAGACACCCTGTCCGGCGAGATGTCCCCCATCACAGGAGGAGAAGGAAAATGCTGTAAAATGCAGAGAGAAGAATTTGAAATTTAACAAAAACTCCATGGACCCCACCACCCCCACCGTGGCCCCACACATCACGAATAACAACAGCCTGTATGGAGCTGTGAACGCTACATTTCACCACCCCACCTCCTCAAAAACACAAAAACAAAACCCCCCACGAACCACATTTCCCCATCCTCCTCTGTTCTCCTCTGTTTTTCTCCATTTTCTCGGAGCTCGAATTCAGAGAAAAATGCCCGCAAATCATTCACTTCCAGTTTCTCAGGAGCAATTAACAGAGCAGCCGGGGCTGCGCAGACGGCTGTCGTCTCTGTCCCTCAAGCTCCAGCCCATCTCCTCCCCTGCAACTTCATGGGCACTAAGACGGTCGAAGTCGGTTTCCGCCATGGGAGAGTACGCCGGAGGATCCATAAGAAAATGGTGGGTCCAGAGCTGGGCATGGATCATGTCCAGAAAACCCATTTTTGCCCAGGATCTGGAGATGAACGAGGAAGAAACCAAAGTGCTCGGATCCGACAACAGAGGAAGCTGGAGGCATGTGTTCTACAAAGTCCGGTCGGAGCTCAAGAAACTCATGGGTTCTGATGTCGGAAACCTGCCGCAAACTTACAGGTACGATTTTGATGATGGGAGGACCAAAACCAAGAAAGTTTACGGCTGAGATTTGATGGGTAAGTGTTGGTTTTTGAAATTAATCAAGAAAGTTGGGGCCTTTATAGAAATAATAAGAGATCCAACGGTCCGAAAATTCGATACCAGATCATCAAAAATACTACTTGTTATTGTTCCAAACATGAAGATCAGTGTACCAATGTAATTAGACTATGTTTGTTGTTTTTTGATGTTCTTATTTTTTGTGTCATGTGGGATTGTTGCTATAGAGGGGTGGGGTTGAAAAATTAATGGTGGTCTGAGGGGTTTCTCTGCAATTTGTGGAAAGTTGAAGGAGTGGTGGGCAAGGCAGAGGTGGTGGTGGTACTGAGATTTAATCCAACAATGGAGATTGCAGAGGTTGCTGCTTATCATCATAAAATTAGGGAGCATTTTATTGATTAGTAAATACTAAATATCTATCATGTTATTATTATTATTATTTTAATTACAAAGCAATTATTTTTGCAGATTCTCTTTTAATATTTGTATCAAGTGTTAATTTATGTCCTAGTTAATTGCTAGTAAATGGAATATTTATTTATAAATTAGCTCTTATTTCTTCTTCCTTGAGATTTTGCTCAATTCAATCCTCATTAGCTTTTAATTTTTTTTTTAACAAACGATATTATTTATTCTAAGAAAAGAGGAATACCACTAGTACTAAATGACTCATTAACTCTTAATCTTGTGTATTAAGAAACTTGGGGATTTTTATGTGATGCAAAGTCAATTCCAATATTGGTAGATCTAAGACGTGGCCGGATGCATGCCTTTGGACTGAAGTTTGCTCCTCCTTTTTTCTTTCCAAAAAAAAAAAAAAAAAAGGACAATCTCTACACATATAATATTTTTAAAATAAATTCGAACACCAACGTTTAGCCACTCATATTACGGATGTTTCTGCATTTTTAAAGGTTGAAATAAACAACGTTTGAGTTCACGACTCGTTTTCATCTCTTTTAGCGATGGACCATGTTTTTAAGATTCTGTTTTTTGTTTCTTTGGTAACCGGTCAGAATAAATACCAAAAACAAAGCAATATGGCCAGGGAGGGATGGAGCGTCGGTGATGTAGTCGAAACGAAAGTGTCTAAACCATTGTCGTTGGACGGTTAGGTTATGAAACAGATGTACGTTCTTTATCCAAGAGCCAAATGTCGATATATCATTGATAACGCGTCAACGTGATTGTCTTCCAGAGAAGGTACCAACAAATTATCAATGCATTTTGAAAGTACTGATACGTAATAATGTAGGTTGGTTTTAATACTAAACGGACGAGAAGCATACAAAATTCAGTATTAATGCAAAAGTACAGACGATGATCAAACTTCTACAGACAAAGATTATCTTGTTACAGTCTCCTGGAATTCGTATCTAACTTTGCATGGTGGGGTTCGCATGTTTTGTAAGAATTAAATTCCTTTGGATTTTTGGAAAAAGTAAGAATAGTAGGAGGACTTTATAGTGTCATATGCATAAAATATAAGGACCAGATATCCCCTTTCACCGGAGCCAAGCAGAAAAGTGTCGGTGTATATATTTGGTTTCTCATTCTTTTCCAATAAAAAAATAACCAACGGTCCGTCCCAAAAAAAAAAAAAAAAAAAAAAAACACACATGGAAAAAGGGTATGAAATGAAAGAGGAGTCTTGGAAGAAAACATCCTGGTTAAAATCGAGAAGATTCTCAAACCAAACCAAGTCATGAACAATTAAAGGGGAGAACTTAGTTAAACGGGTGAGCAACACCATTACAAATACGAGACACAAATGAAATTGAATCTCAGCCAAAATACTAATTAGTTTAGTATAAATTGACCCACACCATTTTGATCGTATAAGTCAATTGCAGAATCATTTTGTTATAAAAACTTTACACCATGTGGGTCTTATTTATGTGCCACATCAGCACATAACATAATCTTTAACAACATTACGATGGAATTTTTTTTTAATTTGTAACACCAATTTTCAGAGACTATATTAATTAATTTTCAAGTTCAATAATCATTTTGATGGTTTAAATCAATTTCAGGACGAATATAAACCCAACTAATTAGTTATGTGTTTTAGTATTTTGACCAAATCATGGATTAGCACATGGATCCCATGATCGCACCGACTAAATAGTTGACAATTATTGGACTGGAGGTAATGGCTGAGCTGCCAAGTGCCAAATGCTAATTAATCATCAATCTTTTATTCCTTTAACCCTTTTACTATATTTTATTATTGTTTAATCCCAGGACGGACTTGATATTATAAATTTATAAGACGTGCATGGGAAGCATTAACCAATATTAGAAAACTTCCTCAACTAACCATAATCAAAATTAAATTAGTTGTTAGGATAGTGTTGAATTAGACCTTAAATACGAGATATACTTGTATACACGTGGAGTTACAAGATAAGTAAAGAGCATGTAATATTTGTAACAAATTTTAGAAGAATAATTTTTTATAATAAAACGCTTCTTATTAATTATACCTTAAAATTGTTGTTGAGTTTTAGAAACACCCGTTATGTAGAAAGCACTTCAAAACGCATCCGTCATAATTTTTTAATTTTTTTAAGTTTCTACTTATTTATTATAAGAACATGTCTAAGTGTAGTACTTGATGTGTCACGAGAAGCTAGTGTTTTCCACGTTAGGGATGTTGAATTAAGCTTCACCCATACTTATTACTTATGTTATATGAACTCTACTAATTAGACTTTATCCGAACTTATTTGGGTTGATATTTATTTTTGAAATTTGTTTTTAATAGGTGTCTTATTTTTAATACTAGCATACATTGTTTATATTCTTTTGTTCTATTTCAATTTCAGTTTCAATTGAATCAAACAAAACGGGCTGTTTTCTCATTCCTAATTAGTACATTTGTGTTTTTGTCAATGCACATCAAAGACGCACATCTAAATTACACATTATAACAAATCGTTAGATTCCGTTATATGATCAAATAATCTGAGGGCTCCTGTTGTGATTGTAACTTGTATTTTGACATGTATTACACAAAGTTGCACATACAATATCGATGGGCTTGGGTGGCACCTCTTAAACTCACCCAACTTTTGGAGGTCCAAGACTTTAAATTGGAGTAGAGGAGTGCTAACAACCTTTGCACTAAGGGAATATTTTTGCGGTCCTTAAGTGATATTGATATTCATTATCATATTTATCATAATTTAATGAGTTTAAATTTCAAAATTCATGTAGTAGATATACAAATTTCAAAATTTAAACTCATCCAATGGTAATACGTAAGATCATTATTACCATTTGAGAGGGTAGTGAGTAAAAATACATCATACTTTTGCGTTTGAACTTTTTTACACTTTATCAAATACCACTTGTCATTTTGTACACATAAAATAAGACCTCAATGATTTTATCATTGTTAAAAAAAATGACACCTCACGTCTGGTAAAGGAAAAAGGGCCAAATTTAAAGGTTGATTGTATTAAAAATATGAGACAGCAGATAGTCTACGAAGAGTTAATTTTGGAAGAATCTCTTTAGCATTTTTAACAGGAAATACATAACCTAATACGGATCGTTTTGCTGAAGGCCAGTCTAAGTAATTATCGCCAGTTGGTTCACTGCCTGCCAAGAGATTCAAAAGAATATTCCGTATCTTAGTCTGTGCAACCAAGAACAAGAAGGCCACAACACAAACTGCGCCTTTGTCCTTCCCCACCTCTTTCCCGCGGCTGAGGATAAAAGCAGAGAGACGGACGGCCACCACAATCCACCCCATATTTACGAAAAAACCAACCCACATGGCATTGGCTCTAAACAGCATAATCCCCCACACCACAGCTTTAAGCCTAAGCACTTCTCTGCCCTCTCCCAAAATGCCCTCCAGCCCCCAATTTCAACAGCCTCACAACCGCCGCCAAAGCGGTCCGATTGTCCAGAGCGCCGCCTCTTCCTCCCCCAACACCGCCGTCTCAGATGTTAAGCCGCAGCTCCAGGAGGAGGACCACAGCAATGGCTTCAATCCCACTTCCACGTTTGCTCCTGGTGAGTATTTTAAGCGCTTTTGCCAAAAATCTGCTTATTTAGTTCTGGATTTCTTTGGGTTCTGTTGAATCATCTGATTGTTATTGTAGCATAAAAAAAGTTCGCATCTTTGCATGTTATTAAGTATTTTCAGCCTAGCAATGTAGAGTTGGATAAGAGATTTGGTGTGTAAAATTCCGTTCTTTGGATTAGGGTTGCATAGCAGACGATTGGAAGAGGATAAATGGGAAATTGAGTAATGAAATGTATAACTTTTCTGATTAATTTCCAAAGAAACTGCAATCTGCCAATCTAAAAAAGTCAGTTATTTAATACCCGGTTTCATTTATAGTAGAGAAGGCACCGGGTAAGAGATATGATGGATAAGTTTCCATTCGTTATGTTAACTATTTGAAGTGTAGAATCTAAAAGTTAATATATTTAAGGTACACTATAATTCAATTTCTCTTTATCTATTTCTTTTACGTGTTCAAGCATGGTCCGAATTTGCCAGAAATGTGTCCGGTGAATGGGATGGCCATGGAGCGGACTTCACAAAGGAAGGGTACCCAATAGAACTTCCCGAGAATGTAGTGCCTGAAGCTTACAGGGAGTGGGAGGTTAAGGTTTTCGATTGGCAGACTCAATGCCCCACTCTTGCTAACCCAGATGAGCACATTCTTTTATACAAGAATATAGAGCTACTTCCGACTGTTGGATGTGAAGCTGATGCTGCTACTCGATATAGAGTCTTTGAGAAGAATGTTGGTGGTCTGAGTAACGAAGTTTTTGCCTTTGCATATCAGTCTAGCGGATGTTATGTGTCTGTCTTGCCAATTCAGGATAAGGGTACATATAAGTTACAGGAGTTGGAGTATTGCTTGATCAATCCTCAAGATAAAGAGTCTCGGGTGAGAATAATTCAGGTCATCCGCATAGAGAATGAGAAGATGATGCTGCAGAATATTAGAGTTTACTGTGAGAATTGGTATGGGCCATTCAGAAATGGGGATCAGTTAGGTGGATGTGCTATCTGTGATTCTGCTTTTGCTTGTACGGCTGCACTGGAAGCTTCAGAAGTTGTTGGAACTTGGCGGGGTCTCAGTGCTGTTGCCAATTTCCGTGGTACTCAAAATGTGAGTTGATCCTCCCCCTTTTGGTTATGTGTGTATATTTGTATGATATGCTTAACCTAAGCAAAAATGCTTGAATATCTTTTAAGTCTGCTGAAGCGGTTCAAAACATTCTTTTGTTTGGTTAAAAGTTAGGCACTTTGCTCACTCCGTACATTCACCTCATTTGTTGTTTTTGTCACTGTGGGCATCACAAAACATCGACATATTTCTTTCATTGAATCTTCATTGATCATTTTGTGTCACTCTTTAATATCTTTTCTTTGATATTTTCTGAAGTTATGGCCTCCTATCCATTGATTTGGTAGATAGTCATTTATTTGTCAGATTTTTTGTAACTCCCTGGTCTAATTAGTATATAATGTGAACTTGATGAACAGAATGTTTTTCAAGAACTTTTAGTCAACGGTGAGCAGAGCTCCATGAGAGATGAAAGTGGTCTCGTATTGCTTCCCAAGCGGCTGTGGTGTTCCGTAAAAGAAAGTAAAGATGGTGATACTTGCAGCGAGGTAGGATGGCTGTTAGATCATGGACGTGCCATCACATCAAGATGCACATTCTCAAGCACAGCAACGCCACAGGCAAGTTAGCATGTATAGACTCGTTTATTATTGGTTTTCAATGTTTGGTGCAGCATGTCAGCATCCAATGACGAGAACAAACCAGCTAAGGATTCTGTCCCAACATATTTGACTTGATCATCGTAAATAGGTTCTGAGAGATGGTTCATCTATTCATCTTTGGATATTACTTCCATATTTATAGCTTCCCTGGTGAAATTCATCCGTTTCAATAGAATTATTTTGCTCCGAATAAGTTTTTGTCTTCATATCCTTTTTGTTTTTGAGTTTAGTCACGTAAGTCAATCTGCAATTCTGAACATTCAGTGTCTCGCGTACAGTGTAGACATGCTTATTTTGACATCATTCATCATCTTCTTTTACAGGAAATCTCAGTAGCGAATGAAACTGCAGTTTTGAAGGGCACATAGACATTTTGGATTAACTCAAATTCGCAATATGCAAACACAGATATAGGACTCATGAAATGTATCTAAAGTTTTTCTCTTCCTGTTTTTTTTTTTTTTTTTTTTTTTTTTTTCTTGTGGGGGTGGGGTGGGGGGGGGGGGGATATTTTTGATTTAATGTATAGCAATAAAGGCATCCACATGAATGTAGAAAACTTGTGTCATTTTTTTTCAAATTCATAGTATACAACATGCTTTGAAATCTTTGTACAAATGATTTCCAAGCTTATTTACAAACAAGATGGTAGGTTTGATTAGATATGAAGTAAACAAAACATACAAGGTTCCTTAAATATGGACGTTTAGGGTGTGTTTGTTTCCCTTCACTAGCCCTCGTTGGACTGGACTAGACTAATAGTTAGTCCAGTCCCATGTTTGTTACTTCACGAGACTAGCTTTAGTGGGAGTAATCCGGACTCTCCTCGACTAAGGACCATGCTAGACCGTCATAGCGAGAGACGTCGCAAACCATAGGACTAGCTAATCCCTTTGATCGCTCTCTGCTCGTGTCCTCTACTCTCCTCTCTGCTTGTGTTCTCTCCCTCTCTCCTCGTCGCCAACCCTGAATCATGAACAAAGACCTCGATTCGAGATGGGAACCGGAATCGGAATCAGAATCGAACTTTTGCAGTGATTTGCCACACTTTTCAGTCCCCAGAGGGTTCAGTTTGCGATCACCCTTGAGTTTTGATCGAGGAATTTGTATTGGGTAGGTAGATTTGGGGTTTTACAATTAGCTAATCAAAATATCGAATTTGAAATTACTGAAATTCTGGGAATATTGGGGATTTGTTCTAATTCATTGCTCTGAAATGTAGGGTTTTGGGGTTTTGCAGTTGCAGGAGGAGAAGATGAAAGTCAACATCTTGCGTATTATGTTATCCTGTTCTTTCTTTCAAACTACTCTAGTTTATATACCATTTGCAACTAGCTCATGTAATTTTCTATACCTTTTATTCCAAGATATTAACTTTGTTGCATTTAATCATATGGTAGACTGAATTTTGGCTTGATAGTTTCAAATTCCTATGATTTTGATTTTGTTCTTTCTTTCAAATTTACTAGTTTATACCATTTAGAAATAGCTTTTGTAATGCTCTTTTCTTTCCCGTCTTCAAACTGTTGCATCTAATCGTGGTGGAATGAATTTCAGCTTGACGGTATTGAATTTCTATGATTTGTCATCCTCTGGAACTATGAATAGTTAATGAGCTGTAGAGTTTTGCTACCTTAATTGTAGTCTAATGTTACGAATGGCGATCACAAGATCAGCTCTTATGTTAGTCACGAATCTCTAGCATATGCTCACCCTGTTTATGATTTGGTGCGATTATCTTTTTAACAACAATCGTCATAATTTGACAATCCCATTTGCTCGGTGATCTTGTTTTAACTTGAAACATCTTTGATGGGAAATGGACGTATTATGCATTTTATCGTAACTGTTTTCTCTTGACCCTTCTCTCTTTGCGAATATCTGCTGCGGATTTTAAACAGAGTATGTTTTTTTTACCTCTTTTCTATCTCTTATGCTCATTAATCAATTGGAAATAATCAATTGCTGCATGTGTGAATGTGTCAAGTGTAAATTTGATGTGCCCTTTTTTTTCTGGGATATGTTTTATTTCATCTACTTTGGAGCTCTAACTCTTATCCCTTTGGACCTGCAGGTGGCATGCTGTCGCTTCATGGACATGGGATGCACAAGACGAAACATGTGGGATTTGTAGGATGGCATTTGATGGTTGTTGTCCCGATTGTAAACTCCCTGGGGATGATTGCCTGCTAAGTAAGTCGCTGGAAATTTGATGTTACCCATTTGTTTTCAATTTATCTACTATTTTTCCCGATTGTCCCGATTGTAAACTCCATGGGATGCACAAGACGAAACATGCTACCCATTTGTTTTCAATTTATCTGCTATTTTTCCTTTTGTGAATTGATTGATAAGTTTTTGTATGTTGAAGTGATTTTTTTCTTCATTCCCTGCTTTAGTTTTGCTAGAAATTTGATGTTATCATATTTTGGGATGGGTTAATTGGTATCTTGTGGGTAAGTTTGTGAAGAAGGATTTGTGTGCATCTAAACTGTTTGATGAAATAGCTAAGAGAAAAAGTGAGGACGCTGCAGGAAACCTCTTCGATTGAATGACCCCTCTTTTTCATAACATGGTTGTATGCTCTCAGTTTTGCATAATTAGATGTGTATGAAATGATTATTCTGTATGCTCTCAGTTTTATTCTGAGATAACTTATTGTCGTGATCAGATGCATAATTACAGAATTATTCTGAGATAACTTATTGTCGTGATCAGATGTGTATGAAATGATTGTTGAATTTCAATGACCCTGAAAATTATGTGCTTGTTGTATTAGGATTTTGAGAAACTAGACTTTAATGAAGCTCATAGCCTTAGCTCAAAGGGTATTGGACTAGTTAGGGAATTGAGTAGAACGAGGTTCAAATCTTATTGTAAATAAAACGAGTTCTGTTTCTGCGGGGTTCAGATTTGGGTGGTTCGATGGAAGGCTTTCCTTTTGTTTATATATTCCAGTTGTGCACGAATGCCACATATGTGAGCTGTAACTTTTTTTTTTTATCGGTTTGTTGCAGTGAGTACTCCATGCAGCTCAATGCTTCTCATGTTAAAGTTCTTCAGTCTCAAAATGATATGGTTAACTCCACGAAGGAGGCAGCATCCAAGGAGCTTCTGAATGTGGGCCAAGTAAAATGATAATTAGGTGTCCCATGAGAAAAGTAAAATGATCATTCAAATTTTGATTAGAAAAGTAATATTAAGGACAAAGAATTGCGTGCCCCAGCATGGGATGCTCTTGTCTATTTCCTATCAAGTCCACAATTTGATGCTAAATTAATTAGTTGTTTGTCTGTATATGTACTTTGCAATGACTCTGCAATGGCACTAGTCTGATGCTCTGGGTTCAGTTGTTTGTTTTGGCTCAGTTGTTTTTTTTTGTTTAGTTTAGTTATTTAGTTACTTGTGACATATCAATGATGATCATCTGTGCAATTTAGGATTGAGAATGCAATCATGCACATGAATATAAGCACGCAAAGATTATATCACGCACAATTGCTTTGTAATTTTGGGTAAGATTGTATTCAGCCACCATTGACCACTGATTTTAAAAACTGAGACCAAGTAATTTTGCATCTTCGTATCTTTGTGGAAAGCTTACTTCTTGTATTGACAGTACCCTTTTAACTTACCACCCATTGACCAGTTAGTCTGATTGTAACTTTTTAATTTGCAGGAGGCCGGATTATTGCATTAGGATTTCACCATTCCAGAACTTGCTGTTTCTCTGATTTGCATATTGATTCGTGACAAAGCCTTATGGCTTGAGTTTTGCCCTGTGAGCAGGTTCTGCCTCATCAAACTCCATCCCCTAATTGTTTCAAACAGGAAGCATAGATCGAAAAAGATTGCTGTTATTCGGGAGTAGGAACTCATCATTACTATAGGAAATTAGGTTACAAGCTTGAAAGCCTTACATGGTGAAAATTTTTGTATGACGAGATTAAAAAAAAAAAGGTTTTCATGCAATTTTGTAACATTATCCTAAACAAGTTGTAACTTCATATTGCATAACCAGTTTATTTGTTTTGAGATTCCAAATACACATTTCTTTTGTGGTATTCATGAGTTCTTTTCTAAATTTGGTATATTTTTTTTTATTGAATCTCATTCATCCAATAATATTAATTTTGATAATATCTTAATAAAAAAATAAATTAAAATAGATTTATTTTCATTATCCTGCCTCTTAGTCTGATATTGTACCAAACGCTTTAATAAGTCAGTCCAGCTTAGTTTAGTCTAAGCCAATCCAACTTAGTCCTAGAAGCTAGTCCAGTCCGAGATAGTCTAGTGCAACAAACGCACCTTTATGGTACTACAGAGTATAGGATAAGGGTGTGCTATTCATACACTCCATTTTACTTCTCACACACTCTTTGATAATTTCTGTTTGTTGATCTTTTTCAATTCATTCGATCCAATGACCGAAAATTAAAAAGGGGTGTGAGAAGTAAAATGGAATCTGTGGATATCACACCCCTATGGGATATTCCTGAATTTTTAATAATTAAATTTTAATTTTTGTTTTTTCAACAAAGATATAACAGTTAAATAACTTTGGATCTCTTATTTTAGAAAACAATATAAAAATTCAGTTAGTATAATTTGTTAATTGGAGGGAGAAGACAAATTCCAGAGACAGACAGGTTCAAAGGAATCCAATCTGGGTCTGTCCATTTGTCGCTATAAATCTTGAAAATTGCATTAAATTCCTCGAATACCTTCACCAAATCAGACAAATTGCACTGTATCATTATTAATATTCTCTAAAATCATCTTAGATAATAGATTCATTGCATCATGAATTCAAGATCATCATCTAGATGCACGTTGTAGGATACCTCTAACTGTATCTTCTCATGAAATAGTATAATAAGTACTGGAGACTACGATGACAGTAAATTTATGTGCTGGGAGCCTGGAGTTATCTACCTTCTTCACCCACACACAAATAAGTTAGAATCTTGAAATAACACTTCCCACCGTCCAAATATTGTTTGATCATACAGCAATACAAAGGGCATCACTAAACAAAATAAAAAAACAACAGAAATCTCCCAACTCTCAAAATGTTACGTCTCCCTATTCGAATCTCTATTTGGTGTTGAGGAATTCAAATTTGCTTCTCAATCTTCTACCACCAAATCTCCTCTTCTTCTGACTTCTCTGTACAACCTGCCAACAGGATATCCCAAGATTAATCGCATAGCGTTAAGCGTAGAGGAAAAAGGCATAGCATCTGTTTGGGACAATATTCTGTACTGAAGTTATCAGTATACATAGATATGCCGGGAAGAATACCTCTACATGATGCTGGCGTGCTTAGTTGGAAGCTAATGAGCTCCTGGTGCATCTCTCATGCTCAAATTTAGACTGTTCCTCATAGTCCGTCTTCCAATTGGCATGTTGCCTTTCACATTGCCCTTTTGCATCATGGCGACAAACTCGCCGTAGTCAATCCTTCCATCCTGCATGCGGGACATAATTGAACCTTTGAGTAAAACCAATAACAAGTCTAAATCTACAAAGACGATTGTACAATACATGATGCTCCATCAAACTATTTTTGGGGATCTAACACATGGCCATAAGAGTCGTAAATATATTTGGTTGCTCATATAAGCTTAACAATATCAAGATGATTCAAGTATTTGAAGAACGATGCAATTCCCTTATGAAATTTTGGCGACTTACATTATCCTGATCAACTTCTTTTATAATATCTTCAAGAAGGACGTCAGTCATGTGATGTTCTGTACAAGCTTGCTGGAGCTCATCAACCGTAATATAACCACTTCCATCCTTATCAAAGTATCGGAAGGCTGCAACCAGATGTTCTTCACGTTCTAGTTTGTTAAGATGAACTGTAGCAGCTATAAATTCCCCATAATCAATTGTTCCACTGTTGTCCACATCAGCCTGGGAAAGAACGAAAAAATGCTTAGCTTTGTGAAACATAAACAAAGTTGAAGATAAATAACCACAAAATTGAGAATTAGACTAGTAGGCAAGCCAGCTACAGATGATTCTGTTTGGAAACAAGCATCTTACCGCATCCATAAGATCGCGTATCTCTGTATCCTTCATGGTAGAGCCGTATCTCCGCAAACCAGCTTTAAGTTCGTCAAATGTTATTGCACCACTATTATCAGTATCCATAGCCTGAAACATCTCTCTTAGTCCAGCAATCTCCTCCTCAGATAGGCTTTCAGCTATTACCTGACATAACATAAAGCCAAAAAAACCTTAAGCATAAGTTGTAGCATTCTAGTTAAGGGGCATGCCAAAAGTCAACGTCACGTATAAATTTTTCTTTACAAGAAAATACTAAATCTGATAGAAATGCCAAACAAGGTGTTCCAGTCTCCCATGCACTTACCCGTAAAGCCATCTTCTTTAACTTGTTCATAGCAGAAAACGTTTTGAGACGAGAAAGTACAGCTGGATCTAGTGCTCTATCAGGAGCAACCCCATTTTCGCAAATCCAAGGGTGACCTAAAAATGAAAATTCATCACTTAAAAGCAAAAAGTGTGCAACATATACTGGACAATTATTGTTAATTCCACTTCAACAGAATCTTTCTGGTTGTTCATTTCCTAAAATTTGAGAACCCTCACATTGAAAAGGAAATTTAAGAAATTGGTGTGACTTGAAAACGAAGCAAAATTTCCCACACCATACACTTCAAATGGATAAAATCAAGGCAGACTTTGAAAGTTTATTTCTTTATGGAAAATTTCGCTACAGAAAAAGTAGCCGTTTCTCTTAAACATTGAATGTGCCAAATTCAAATTCAGAAATAAACTCAAAAGGGCTTGAGCTTAGACAACCATGTTTTGGTGTCCCAGCTGCTTAACAAAATTCGGGGCATAATTTATCAACAAATGTTGTGCACGTAGTAGTAATGACATGATCCATCCAAAGAAAAGAAACGGAGAACCATTAACAAATAAGCTACCTATTTCTGGTCGCACTAAATCGTGCGCAATAGTGTACTAAAATAACTTAAACTGCTAAGAGAGGTTAAACATACATAGCACTTCATGTGCAGTTAAGCGGTCTGAAGGCCTAGAACATAGCATCTTCCGGATTAGGTCTTTTGCACTTTCAGATATTAAAGGCCATGGCTCTGATTCAAAGTCTATATATCCCTTCAAGACCGCATCAAATATCCCCTGCTGGGTTTCTGTATACCAATCACCAAACAGGTAAAACTATTCAGTAGCAGAAAACATGGAGTAATCTCTGTTTCATTAAAATAAGAAGCCACCATTACCTGCCCAAAATGGTGGCACACCACTGAGCAGAATATACAGTATAACTCCTGCAGTCCACACGTCTGCTTCTGGTCCATAATGCTTGAGGAGTACCTCGGGAGCAACATAATATGGGCTTCCAACCACATCAGTGAAAACTTGACCTGGAAAGGACGTAATAGTGTTAAACAAACATTGGTTTCTAAATGACAAGGAGGACATTACATGCATTTCAGTTCAATAATTGTATAGGGGCAGTAGCAATAAACAAGAATAAATGAAATTTTATTACTATATACAGGCAACGCAAGTCCAGCTACTAAAATCCACGTGAACACGATATAAGATATGCCATATTACTATTTGATCAATATTAAGTGAAGTAAACTCACATCATAGCTAAAATCAACAAAACGAAATGAAATTATTTTTGTTTGTTTACCTGGTTTGAAGAAAACTGAGAGTCCAAAATCAATGGCCTTGAGAGAAAAATCATTGTCCTTGTTAACCAACAAGAAGTTTTCAGGTTTCAGATCTCTATGCATGACACCAAGTGAATGGCAAGCTTCAACAACACCAACAATAATCCGTGTCAACTCAGCTGCCTTTCTCTCACTGTAATGTCCCCTCTGGATAATGCGATCAAACAACTCACCCCCGCCACAAAGCTCCATTACAATGTGAACATACAGTGAATCCTCATAAGCACCCTTGATTGTCACAATATTCTTGTGACCAGCTAAATGGTGCATTATCTGAATCTCCCTCCTAACATCATCCACATCCTCCTTCGAGATCAACTTCCTCTTGGAGATAGACTTACACGCATACTGACTGCCAGTAGCAATCTCAGTGCATAAATACGTAGTCCCAAATTGTCCCTGTCCTAATTTATGACCCAACATGTAAAGATCACGAATGTTGGCGGTCTGGTGACCCAACACATAATAACTTTGGTTATCAGCACTTCTCCTCATGATGTTATCTTTGCTGGGACTAATGAGGGGTGGATTACTATTGTTGGTTTTGGGTTTGGGGCTGTCTTTGGAGAATTCTTGCTGACCGCGGTGCTGCGATTTCAAACTGGACGAGGAGTGATCAGAATTGGTATGGTCAGACGACGTGTTGCGCTTGGAAATGGAAGCAGATTGCTCTTCGGGCTGGTTGGAGCCCTGAAAATATTTCCCTCTGAAAGATCCACGGCATGTGTTGCCCATGAAACAATTACAAATCCCCTCAGGACTTCTTAACAGACTTTCCCTCACCCAATTGATTTCTCATCAATTCACACTGTCCACCATGCAAAAAGTGCATAAAACAATCAACAATCATGGCTGAAACAAAAAACCAAATCCAAGAAAATCACACCATCATAATATGCAGATCAGAAACATGGGCCCCACAGATTCGTATGAATCTATAATCACAAACCCAGAAAGCAAGCAAAGTATAGAAATTGAAATTTTCATGCACCCAAAGGAAAAACACTTTTCATTTTCTCTACTTTTTCCATCATACAAATCCATAACTCATAAGATTATTGCAAATAAATCAGCAATAGATTAACAACTAACCACAAAGATCAAATCTTTAAGCACAAACAAAACAACCCATCATCCAGAAAAGCAAAAAACCCAAGATTCAGATACAAAAGGTCAGATTAAAGCAAGAAAGCAGACACATTTTTTAGAGAGAGAAAGAGAAGATGGGGACACTTTACCAGTTGAAAAGACGAAAGGAATGGATGGTCGAACGAATCAAAGCAAAGGGGCAGGAGGAGAAGAAGAAGAAAATGATGCAA